ATTTATCGGCGTATAACACCCAGTTTTAAATCTAAATTTTCAATCTTAAACCCTTCCTTCTTTTTATACGCCGATACTGCGTGTTATACGCCGATAAATACGGTATCTCTACCACTCCATGCAATCCCCCACCCGGTTTCCCACAGCACTAAGTGCGGCAGTCCTGAAGATCCAAAGTAAAAGGTGGCCTCCAGTGCTGATACATACATACATACATACATACATACATACATACATACATACATCTTATAAAGTTATTTCCATGGACAATTATTTGTGCTTTCTGTAAAGTGTAAATCAATCTTGCATATTTTATAATAATCTCTTCAAAATTCATATCTTCCAAAACTATTATTAACAGCTTTTCTGCATCTAAGAAAATCAGTGGGACTATTTTCAGTCTGTCAGCCAGAATATGATGTTTCCTTTTACAGAACAAAGTCTAATCTTGGTCCTCCTTAGATATTATGCTATATTAGCATCTTTCGAGCTGTCTGGCATATAAAACAGAATTCATGGTATTTTGTAAGGATTCTAATAATCTTCAAAGCATTTATGGTAAGAAGCTAGTAAACATCTTCCCTCTTTTAGTCTTGTTTTATAGCTTTACAAACTTCCCTTATTGTTATGGATCAATTCATAACTTCTTTTTGTTTGCTTATAATGTTTGGTAAATTTTGTTTCTTTAAATATTTGTTTATTTTCTCCAGGGAAATTTCTTGTCTTTTATGCATTTTGCATAATGTTGATGAAATGCTTTTTGCATATCTACACTATCTGTTGTTATAGTGTCTTCTCTTGTAATTTCAGTTTTTACTTTTTTTTTGTAATTTGCGCGTGAAACATTTATTTGGTTTATTTTCAAATTCATTTTTTAAAATTTGCATAATTCATCTTTCATTTCTCTTAAAATCCGTTAAAAAAGTAGCTAATTGTTACTGCTTAATTTGTTGAAATATTTATATTTTCTCTGGAAAGTTTTTGATTCCTTTTCTTTTATTTTTCTATTTAGTACCTTGCTTTTTCTTTTGCCTTTTTTGAGTTCTTTAAACAGATTTATAAGAAATTGAAAAATAATTTATGGGAATGTGAAAGTCCTAGGTACTAACTTAGGACTTCCTATACATGAACTTGATCATTCTCATCAGATATCCTCACCATTTTTCAGAAACATGCATTTTTCTTTCTTTCTGCAGTTACACAAACTGTGTGGATATAATGAAGCAAAGCTAAGCTTTTTTAATGCCATGTGTCATAAGCAGTCTGTAGATGCAGATGCATATATATGGCAACATTTTTGCTGTTTTGTTTCAGTGAAGCAGTTTATTATTGTATCAAACCTCCCTTTGACTGGTCTCCTCTCCATAATAACGAAAGATACTTATGAACCAGAAAGCTATTTAGGGTTGCAATTTAATGCACATTTCATTGAATGCAAGTCCCATTAAAAAGAATTTACTTATGAGGTCATACATAAGATCATATCATGCAAACAGAACTTTAAAAAACTGCTTTATATATCCAAAAAACTACCTGTGGTAAACTCCAGAGTTGCTGTGAATTTGACAACATATACATACAATTTATTATTCTTATTAAAGTCTTATCTATATGTGTCAGTATTAACAACACTGTATTGCAAAGATATACAAGTGGTTAAAGTGTAACATATGTTCTATTTGTTTTATTTATTTAATCAATTTATATAGCTACCTTGCAGCTGTTTATTATAATGTTATAAGGAGGGGTTACAGAGGTAGTGGTCATAATTGATTGAAAACTTTGTTAAAATTATAAGATATTAATTATGGGATCATGCTTCTATTAATTATTTTCATCTCTAATCATAGAAAAGCTTTCCCCAAACATTCCATTTAATAGCCTCAAATTCCATGTCCAGAAACAACTGGAACTATTTAATCTGGTATGTAGTTGCTTAGATTTGTTGTGCTGATGATTATGATTTTTAATAGCTTGAGAATGGAAAAGTGCTTAGAATGAACAGTACATTCCACAGAATGTCTTTGGAAGGATGGAAAAATCTGTGTATAGAAGTTAACCATATATTTTTTTCACCAAGCATATGGCATGAAAGAGATGTTTAAAATACATCCATACATGAATTAAAAAACGTTGCAGTGCATCAAAATGATGTGCCTGTTTTATGAGTGAAATGCTGAATCCATATTATAGCAATATGTAAAATGTGGGCTTATTTATTTCCAATAAAACTTTCAAAACTTTCATTTTCTCCATTTTCATTTAATTCATTTAATTATTAGGCAGTTGTGTATAAAAGAAGTAGAAAGCTAACTTATATTTAATATATAAATTTAATATATATTTATACATAATTTTATCAGCTAAAATTAAATACACTAGAAATAAAATATTACAAAGCATGCTATAAATGTTCTATGTTTTACACTGTGATAAAATACAAAGATTTTGTTTAATAAAAATTAATAGTATAACTACACAGGTACATAAAATAGCCACATAAAGATATTTTTCTATTTTTGAAAAATAGAAACATAAGTTCATTAAAGATACAGTACATTATACAAGATATAAATTTGGATATTGAATATTATCAATATGAGATAATATATATTTTTTTGTATTAGATTCCATGTAAGTGTGGCTTAGCTGGGAAGACTGGATCCTATATTTTTTTAGAAAATATGTATATAATTTCATATGACTTATTTTAACACTGAGTGTTAGAATAAGACAAGATATCAACTTACATTCCAGACATTGTATCCTATGAAATATGCAGTTCAGTTACTTGTATTAAAGTTGAAAAATAACGTAACTGGAATAACTTTCACTGGTTTCAGTATAATTTACTGTTATATAAATATCAGTGGGATTATTAATTTATTATTTATTGTTTTCTGAACTAATTTGTTTTTTTCTTCCAGCCATATCAAGAGATTAATGAAAATGAAGAATCTCAATCTCTGCTTCCGTAAATACAATATCTCTGAGAACTATAACTGATTTTGCAAGTGCTCAGTTGCCACCTGTGTTGTTAATGGGTTGCAGCATCTAGCGGAGAAGTAGCACATTGATCTCACTGTCTCTCTCTGTTCCTCTTTGTATCTAGACTTTATAGCAGGGGTTCCCAAACTTGGCAACTTTAAGACTTGTGGACTTCAACTCCGAGCATTCTCCAGCCAGCTATGGCTAGAGAATTCTGGGAGTTGAAGTCCACAAGTCTTAAAGTTGCGAAGTTTGAAGACCTCTGATTTATAGTATGTTTTCACTGTATATGAATGGGGTGGTGTTCTGGTTTAAACACACCTTCATCCAATATATTCTAATGTGACATGCTGTACTTTATATCACTGTTATAATGAATATAAATAATAGGCCTACATATTTCTGTACATTCTGATATTCAATTCTTCTGTATCTGGAAGTAAGGATATTATCTCAAGGACAATGCCATATATGTTTTAAAGTGGATGTAGAAGGGTTGGGAGACAGTGCTGGAAATTCCTGTGGTCCATAAAATATCATAAACTCAACTCAGTAACTTCCCTTTCTCCCTTTTCATTTTTTCTTCCTTTCACTTTTCCTCCTTCATTTATTGATTGATCCTGCAGTAACTATCTTTCACTACTGCCCTTCAGTAGTTGCTATTTAGTCTGTTTTTAATAAAATAAGTGAAACCAGAAGCTTCTGGGAAGTTGATAAGCATTTCAGGAAAACAATAAATGCTGATACACCTTCCCCACCTGGGGTATCTTGTATTTTGAGGCTGGATATCCTTGATCCAGTGGTGTGTTTGAATTTTTTTTTACTACCGGTTCTGTGATCATGGCTTGCAGTTATGTGACCGGATAGGAGTGGCTTGGTGGCCATGTAACTGGGTGGGTGTAGCCAATTTAGTCATCCATTTTGCCAATTTAGCAGACCATTAAACAATTCACAACAACCCCCTTTTCTATTCTTTTTAATAACTGCATGGAGTTTTTGCCGAGGAGCCGAGGTGGTGCAGTGGTTAGGGTGCAGTACTGCAGGCCACTTCAGCTGACTGTTATCTGCAGTTCAGCAGTTCTAATCTCACCGGCTCA